CCCCCCCCCCCCCCCGCTTCTGGTTAGTCCTTCCGAAACGTAGCCTGGGTCGACGAAAACCCGGCAGCATATCGCTCCTCCGTCCTGGCACTGCTGGGGTGCTAGGGTCTAACAACTACGGCATGCTTCTGCGTTAGCTTGTAGGTGAGTACACTCCCGCCGCTCATCACCTCATGTCAAGGTTCTCCTGCTGCAGTCGGAGTCTCTCGCGGGGCGACGGCACTCCCTTGCCTAGGCCCTCACTTATCCTCTCTCTTCTCGCCGCCGCGGGCTGCGAGAACTGTCGCTCCAACGCACTCTTCGCTTCGTTCCCTCCTTCGCCGCTGTTGTTAGCGCTCGAACCAGAGGAGTTATTGTTGTTGTTATTGTTGTTGTTGTTGTTGTTGTTGCTGTGGCTCCCACCGCTGCCGCCGCTGTCGCTACCGTCTAAGCTGCCTATTCCTCCGTCCGCAGACCTCCGGCGATTGCCGTTGCCCCCTCGCCCACCCGTTCCCTGCTAAATACAGGAAAGAGCGAAAACAAGGTGGGAGTCACATTGCGAAAAAAACGAAGTGAGTACTGCTATACGCGGGGTGGAACTGATGGGCTGAAACACCCAAGTATTCGAGGGCGACAGATTGGAGCCCCCCTATCTACCGCTGGTGCTGTTCAGGGTCCTACCACCTCCCTCTGCTGCTGTGAAGCTCGAGTGCATGCATGCCTCGGACCTTCTGCCTGTGCTGGTTGACTGACTCAAAATCACTTTTTTTTCCTCTGCGCTGTGCTGGCGGTGCCTGTTGGTTGATTGACCCCCAGAATAAACGTCTTGGTGGTTGACACGCAGCAGCACCTGTCTCCTCCCCGCTGCTGGGCACACAAGCCGCTGCGTGCCTTCGCCCTCGGAGGCGGGTGGAGAATCAGTCAAAGCACCGAAGAGAGACAAAGCAGACCCGGGCCGACGGACTGATGCACAAGCGGTTTTGTACCTCGAATGCCACTGCTGTGCTGCCGTACGTTTACAGGTTGTAAGTGAACGGATTTTCACCGTTTCGACAAGTCTATGCGTTCATAATCCCAGTCATCTTTCAAGCCACCCATGATATATAGGGTTCTATCCCCCACGAGCTGGGTACTGGGTACCCGGCAATAGACGACGGGTAGCTTCAGGGGTGGCAGTTGAACAGGCACATGCGTACGCGTACCCGATCCGGCTTCACACCACCTGACTGACCGGACCTGCTCCTGTTTGCCCTCCTCGCGTTCTTGCCTGATTCGGAGGTGCACTCCCTCCGTCGCCCCCATTCCCAGAGTGAACAGGAGAACTCGTCACGGAGCACCAGCAGCTGCTCGTGCCGCCGTCGCCGCTGCCCCATGGCGGCGTCGGCCGCCTTCGTCTCTGTCGGCTAGTTGTTGCCGGGTTCAACCAAGCAGACCTGCTGCTGTGTGGCGCCAGCAACACGGACTCCACGGCCCCTCTCTCTACTTTTCCATTGCTTCCAAGGGCGGCGCACGGAAGTAAAGCCAGTAGAGCTCTCAGGGACGACCAGGGAGGGTTTGTCAAGGTCATAATCCTTTATCTAGCTGCAGTTCTGCTGTTGTCGAAGGAGCTGCGAGATGTGCGGCGCAATTTTCGGGGAACCACTCGTAGAACGCCTCCACGGTTCAACAGCTCGCGGGCGGGGGGATCGGGGGAGACATTGGTATTATGATGCGACACTTTTTTTTTTTCTCCCATAATTGGATTCTGTCGACTGCCCCTTGGCGCCTATCCTCCACTTCTACTAGCTGGACGACCCAACCGGGGTCACACAGAAGGGGGGGGGTGGACTTCCTCCTGCGGTTCCTGCCTGAGATATGTTTATCGCGAGAAGGGTACAGCAATCCCTTCCCTCGCGACTTATTATGAAGTCGATCAAGTTTACAAACAACGCGCTTTGCATCATCCAACGGCAGGATTTAATTACAATTGTAGTCAGAAGAAACTCACTCTGTGTGTGTGTGTTTCCATCCTATTTATGATGGCGACAGTCTCGCCATTTTTCGTGGTGAAACGTGTACTACACTTTTCAGTGTATTTTTTCGTAAAACTAAAACCATCCAGGGTCACAGGAGGGGGTAAACACCCGGGCTTTTTTCTTCCTTTTATTTCTGTTTGAGTGCGGTAGCTCGTCAGAGGCCGAAAGAGAAAGAAGGTTGACTCAAGACCTTGTTGCTTAGAGAGTAAGAGACATGCGGTAGGCCACACCATCGCCATGCAGCATGTCTGTCAATACATTCCATCCGCGTACCCCCCGGAGGCCCCGTAGACAGTATACTCTGCCGAGCACCCCAAACAGCCCCCCTGCTCGGTACGAGATACTATCTACGAAATCCCCGACACGACTATCATTGCCAGACAAAACGGCAGACAGAAAAACCAAAACCCCTAACAATAAATCATCCACCATTCCAATCCAAACGACTCTGCCAATAGAACATGTCCCACGAAATCGCCGGATCTTCCAACAGAACACGTCCTGCAAAGCTTTCAAGCCTTGTGATGTCAAACTTCTACCCCTAAAAGGTCTGTCAAGAAAAATAAATCACCCTCTCGAGAAAAGTGCTCTACCCAATTCTCAAGCAGTCAAAACACGAACAATCACCCTTGGAAAATACCCGGCAAAAAGATCAACGTTCCATCAGAATCACGTCAGAACGGGGAGGACGGGTAACTCCGGGAAAACGTGTCTTACGTCCTGACTACTCAGAACAAATTTTTTCCTCAGATAAATATTCATGTTTCAATTCAATGGCCAGTTCAAACTACAAGAACATGCCAAACCCTCTCTCCGACATCCAATACCTTGACAAAGAAACCACTCCACCAGCCCCCCTGCTGTAACATCCATTCCATCCTGAACATGAAGTCAAAATCAAATCAATCAATCAATCCAACAGCCCCCCTGCTGCATCATTCATCCCGAAAAAAATCAAAACCAAGACAAACCACCTGCGACTAGGATCATGGAACAATACTTCCCCCCCCATGATTCTCACGCAGAACTATCCCATCCATCGCGAAAGCAGAAATCAACATCGAGCAGCAGATCAAAGGCCAGTACCAGGTCACAAATAAAACACATGGTGCAAGAAAGGCCCCATCGCTGAAATAGTGCAACACCAAGAACAAAATCAACGAATATTCATCACGAAGTCACGATGCGCGCAAAAAGTCTCCTTGGGGAGCGGTTTGGTCAAGAAATCCGCGCGTTGCAGGTCCGACCGTACGTGGACTACCTTGAACTCCCCCCGTGCTACACGCTCACGGATGAAATGGTGGCGGATGTCGATGTGCTTCGAGTTGGGAGTAGTAGCCGGGTTACTTGCCAAGTGAATAGCGCCTACGTTGTCCTCCCACACCGGCGTGCACCCCACATCACGGCCCGGAAAGATAAATTTCCACAGATAAAGGCAGAAAAATAGCCTCCTTTATCCCATCAGACATCGCCACGTACTCCGCTTCCGTCGAAGACAGGGTGACGCTCTTCTGCGTCCTACACAGATACATCACACACGCACCAGCGAACATCACTAGTGCCCCAGAAACAGACCGCCGGTGGTTGGCGAAGTCCGAATCTACAAAAAGTTCCATGTGGTCTCCTCCCACCGTGCCCCTCTGAAACGTAGTCCCGAACCCGCTCGTGAATCTAACATACATCAAACCATGCAAAGCCGCCTCCCAGTGCAGTCGCTTCGGCGCGTGCGAATACCTCGCAACGGCACGTACCGCGTTGAGAATATCCGGGCGAGTCTGATTCGCCAGCCACATCAAGTGTCCCACTAGCGACCGGAAAGGCTCGTCGACATCGGGCTCGTCGGCGTCGTACTGCTCAAGCTTCAACCCAACGACCATAGGTGTCTCTTTGTCCGTCGTCACACCGAACTTGGCAACGATCTTCTCCGCTACAGCCTGTTGCGAAATAGTCACCGTCCCCAACACCGTGTCACGAGAAAACCGGCAACCCGCATACCAGCGCAGTTCCCCAAGGTTGGAAATGGGCACATACCGGTTGAGGTCAACACCAAACTGATCGCACCTGCTCTTGAGCCCGATAGAGAAGATGTCGTCTACGTGGATCACAACCACCATGGTGACTACACCGCTCTCGATCAGACGCATCACACACGCATCGGCGGCACAAGGCTCGAAACCAAGACTCTTCATGCCACGCATCAAGTGATGATGCCATGTGCGGGACGCCTGCTTCAGACCGTATAGGCTCCGTCTCAACCGCACGACCTTACCGGAAAGCGCACCGCACCCAGGGGGAAGACGAATGAACACAACCTCATCCAGTTCTGATTGGACAAAGGCTTGCTCGGCATCGAAATGGCACAAGTCCCAATCTAACACACAGGCAATGGCGGCTAGCAATCGAATGCTCGTGATGGAAGGACACGGGGAGAAAGTCTCAAAGAAGTCAACACCCTCACGCTGCGCAAACCCACGGGCTACCAACCTAGCCTTAGCACGCACAGCATACCCAAACTCGTCTCCCTTCCATGAATACACCCACTTGGCGGAGATGACGTTCGTCCCTCGAAAACTCCTTGCGTTCGGCGTTGGTCCAGATGTGGTGGTGGGGCCCCGCGTGCGCCTCCCCGTATGTCTCAGGCGTCTCCAGGTCGCACACCAGCCCCGTCGGCAGGGCTGGCTCAGCGACGCCCGGTGCAGGAAGCTCGGCGATAGACCGCTTGATCTCGTCCTCCGTGGCTAGAAGAGCAAATATCCCCGGCCCCGGCCCATCTCGCTTCGCCCGCGACCTCGTCACTGCGGGGGTCGCTACAAACTCCCGCTGCCCCTGCCGACGACGTCCGCCTGTACCGCCCTCATGCACCATCTCCGTCCACAGTCCGTCCGATGCCATCGCCGCCGAGTGCGCGGGGGCAGGTGTGGCAACAGGTGCCGCAGATGTGCTCACCCGCGAAGGCCCCCCCGCCATCTGCGCAAGTTCCGTCAACACCGCGCTGCGCGCTGCTCCGCTCGCCACCCTGCTCTCCGACTCCGTCATATGCTCATGCTGCCGCTGCTCCGTCGCCGCCGGAGCTGCCGCCGATGCTGCCGCTCCGGCCGCCACCGCGGGGCCTCCGGCCATCCCCCCCGCCGCCGCCGCGGGGGGAACAATGCCACCGGAGATCACCGCCGACGCCGCTGGAGCTGCGGCCGATGCTGCCGCTCCGGGCGCCACCGCGGGGCCTCCGGCCATTCCCCCCGCCGCCGCCGCGGGGGGAACAATGCCACCGGAGATCACCGCCGACGCCGCTGGAGCTGCGGCCGATGCTGCCGCTCCGGGCGCCACCGCGGGGCCTCCGGCCATTCCCCCCGCCGCCGCCGCGGGGGGAACAATGCCACCGGAGATCACCGCCGACGCCGCTGGAGCTGCGG